GCGGTCGATTGTGGCCAGAAATTGTTTTGGAACTCATCTCTTATGATGCATATGTTGCTGAAATACAGAAATCTGGTGGAGACAAATTAGATTTCTATGAACATTTGAAATTTCGTTCTGTCACAGGAGCAGACTACAATCATTGGTTGCCCTTGTATATTAATGCTAATCATTTTAAGCAAGGACAAATAATTATTCAAAATAGTATTAGTGTTATTCATAATGGTACTGCTCAGGGTAGTACAAGCTATGATTTCATGCCATATATGGCATTGAGTGTTTTGACTACTTTAATGAATAAATCAGCTGTTCGATTATTTAATGGAGAAATGTATGAATCAAACCAAGCGATAGAAGCCTATTGCCATTTTTTACGTTTATTGATGCATTTTATTGATATTTTTCCTGAATTAGGTAGAGTGAAAATATCTATGAACTTTGTTAAAGAATAAATTTCATAATTGATATTTGTCTTTTCTAGAGAATAGAATTAATAAAACTGTGGAACAGTTCATAACAGCATTATGTGGTCGTAATAAAAAAGTAATACCTGATATTGGTGAATTTTTGATACAAATAGCATTATCAACAAAATATAAGTTCAATGATATTAAAAATTATGTCTATGAAGAGTATTTTGCTCGACAAATATTTTGGATTAGAAAAAATAGTACAGTCTCAAGCTTGTCACATATTACAACAAAAGATTTACCTGAAATATTTCAAGCTGTAAAAGTATCAAATCATCTGTTGATATTCAATCTAGACATGGCTGAAACATTCATTTTTTCGGGTATCAAAGAGTAAGTATTTACTTTTGATTCACTGATTTGAAAACAACAACAACTAACAATTATCTTTGGACTATTAGTATACTTAATTTTGTTTTATCTTCACTAACACTTTGAACTATGCTGTACTATACGTTTTCTTTTTATAGACATTTGGATCGATTATATGGACATCCACCTGCAAATGTTGTAGAAAAATTTCAACAACGATTAAAAGCCATCAAAGGAATAAATCAGTATAATGTGTTCATTCAAGCTATACGATTGAATGATAAGATCAAATCACCGGATGATATGATTGATCTGATAAAACGTTCCATACGTGTATCAAATCAACAAGGTTATACCAATGTAATATAGATTGCTCAATAACAAAATCGAATCTGAAATGAACGAAAATAATATAATCAATATTAACAAAGACATTTTCAAAACAGACAAGAAATGGCAATGATTTGTGTTTTAGTAAAACAATCTTAATATACGAAAGCAAGAGTATCATTAGATGACTCTTTAGTTCGAATCAGTTTCAATTGTTTGTTCATCTAGTTAATATTGTCTTGATCAAACCGTATTTTATTCAATATTGTCACATGTTAATAAATGACTAACACAATAAGAATTATATTCAGATTTCCAAAAAAAGTAAATTTTCAAATTGAGGAAAATTTCCAACACAGCAAAAAGAATCTATCTAAGAAAACGATGCTGAAATTTACAGGTTACTTCCAAAGTTTCATAGCACCTATCGAAATCTATCATATTATTCAATCACTACGAAACTATTTCAATGTATTTCCAAATGAGCAAGAAGACTCTAACTTACAAAATTTTAGTCATTTTAGAAGTTACTGGGATATTTCCGACATTATCTACATTGAAAAGAGTAGCGTCTTCTTTTCAATAATAACGTACATTGACATGTATATTAAAAAAATATACTACGTAATTCCTATATTCGCTGAAATTTCTGAGTAATTACTAAAATTATCAACATTTTGAAGTGTAGATTCTTATTCTCTGTAGGAAACTCATTGATATATGCCGAACATACCAATATGGTAATCTCCGTATTCTATTGAAGTTTAAGGTCAGTTTCAAAGTAATGAGGGTGTGGGTGTGAGTGTGGGTGTGGATGGATGTCGGTGAATCTCATCATTCTTTATCCACATCCACACGCACACCCACACCCTGCAGTATCTCCATAGAAATAAGCTAGCGGCCCGAACTTTTTTCAGAATATTCATAGCTCATTTGTACCTATACAATGCACACAGTCTCAACGCAAAAGCGATTGATCAGTTGGTGACCTTCCCCCGTAAGAGTGTAGTAAGTAGAGCTTTTCTTATATCCGGAATTTTCTTGTTGGTTATAAGACGAAACAGAACAGCTAATAAACACTCCTTTCTAGTACAGCGGTAGTATAGCTTCCCCAAAAGCAGAAGATGCATGATTCGATTCCTTGCGAAGAGAAATTATTGTTTTTCGTTATGTTGTATTCTATCTCGTTGTTACCTCGCTGATAAGAATATGATAATATGCGAGTATAAAAGAAGACAGAGTATGAGTGTGATGCGCAGGAGGAGAAACACCTATCCACACATCACACCCATAGCCCACATCCTACACTCGCATCATGCAAACGCTTCAAGTTTTTTCTGTCAAAATATGTTGGACGACGAGCTCCTGGACGGTGTTCGACTGGTAGACCAATTTCGTAACGTTTTGTTATATTGTAAACTGTTGATCTTGTAGAACCTTCTTGTGCAAAATGTTTTACTATATCAACTTTTTTCAAACCTTTATTTGATCCAAGCATAGAAAAAACACGTTTACGAAAATCAATCATATTGACAACAATGGATCTATCGAAAAGTCTCAAATTAAAGTATTGATAGAGGGTGCGACAAGCTATGTAATCAGTAAAAAAAATTTATTTCGATAGGTTTTATATATATGTTTTGGCTTTCAACATTTTGTCCAAAAAACTTTCGATCACCCGTTATTTGTGATTAGTGAAATGCTTTTCAAGTCTTTGGTTAGGAAATATGTTCATGCGAGAATGTAAGTGAAAGTGTGAGCCTTCTATTCATCTAAACTGACATCTATTCTTGTGACACATTTGTTTTTATCACTATTCCTTTTTTTTTTCTTTCTTCATCATTCAGTAATCAGCCAATACCTTAATATACTTGTACTGTTTTAATTTTTTTTCTGAGGAGAATGAAAAAATCTTTCATGTGAAAGTGAAAATAAAAAATGCAGAGGCGTACGCTGCCGCTGAGCATAAATAAATACAATCAATTATGTTTCATACTAAAAAATTTTTTTTTCAGAAGAATTTGCATCACGCCGATGGCAACTCGTAAACATTCTTCGACACGTCCGTCTAATGCTGAATCGAAAAAAGCTTCATCACAAAGTAGTAGAAGTATCAATTTATCTTTATTTTTCCGCATAATAAAGAATAACTATAAATAAAATCTTTATATTTGTAAGATAAAAATAAATGAAATCACTATTCAAAAAAATACTTGTCAGTGCGACCCTGATAGAGTGAAAATGAGGATTTCACAAACTTTAATTGTTAAAAATTCAATATATATTGTCAGAGGTTTTTAAATACTCTATTTAAAAAAATGCCACATAAATAAATAAATTAAAATTATAAAAATTTTTATAGTTGCTATGAGCTCTCTGAAATTTTATTATTTGGAAAATGTTCGCATTTATAATTACTGTTTTACCAATCTAATTGATTTATTTAACATCATCCTACTGTAAAATCTTATTTGTATTGTCACATACATCATAATGTCCTTTTGCCGTATGAAAAACCTAACCCGTAATATTTAGGCTAAACAGTAAGAACATACAGAGTTTTAGAATGATCTAAGCACTGATATTATTTACGCGACATCTTTTTTTCAATGAAACCGTATCTATTAATCTGTGTCTTCTCCATCCCGTGTTTCTTAGCACCTGAACGGGTAGTCACTATGGTCTACAATGGGGAAGGTGAAGAGAGCTGCAAAAACCTGATTTGAGCTTACGCTCACCATTTTATTCGAGAATATATGTGAGTTCCACCACAAAAGTAAAAGATAAAAGAAATGCCAAACAAAGCGTTGTTTTTCAAAAACCTTCTATTATTTTTCTTTCGAGTAACTCACAAACAAATTTATGCTATGATAGAAATAAAAAGTATATGGACTGACTAAGTTTTTTTTTGGCATGTATGATCCTCATTTAAAAACAACACAGTATATCAAAGTGTTGTTAGTGATAAGAAATTAACAATAAAGAATTCATCTATCTAGATTTTATAAATTAAAATTATATTTGCTTTATAACAATTTAAATCGAACTATCATGATCATTCGGCTATTTACATAAGAAGTATCATCATCCGGTCGAAATTCATTTCACAAAAAAATCGGAATTCAACATCGATTTCAGTATCAAAATTGAATATTGACTTCAAATTTCCTCTGTCATTCGTCAACATTTGATGAACCTAAAGTCAATATGATGGAGTTGGATCAAGCCATTCGAAAGTTCGATCATCATCATCGTTTTTTTCGAGTTCCAGTTAGAGATATATAGATAAACGTACTAAGTGAACAATTTTCACATTCATCATTGGTCGAAGTAATTCCAGCATTTAAAACATTTATTAACACTGTTACAATTATTGAGATTTGAATTAATCAAGGTTAATATAAATTGTCTTCGCGTAGCTGAAGAGTTTATAGTTCTTTTTCTTTTGTTTCGTGTTTACTCTAGCTAAATATATATATTTTTTTCTTCTTTCGAAGAAAATATATCCTTGTTTGTACGTAAATAGACTATTGCTTTCTCTTCGATTCTTTCGCAACTTTTTTTTCCAATAAACGCCATTCGGCAATACTTTAACGCAAAAAGTCGAAAAGATTTAAACGAAAGTATTTTTTTCAAATGATCCAAATCTCCTATTATGAATTTCACATCGTTCAGTACATACGAATCTTCTTTTATGGAAGGATCTTCTAACATGCGGGGGCGCGAGGGTTAGTTTAAACTCGGATCTTAGATTGACTTGAGTGTTGGATGGAAAGCTAATACATATATATATATATGTATATATTGATTTATTTGTTTTATAAATATAAATATTTTAAATTTGTAAAATAAATTAAAGATGAATTAACGTTCCTATAAAGTAGGAAGATGAAAATAATAACTATATCGAGTTTAGGTCTTTCGTCATCGATTCATACAAAAAAAGAAACAGAATCTGCAAGTTCAACAAAGGCAAACTCGAATATCGATATATTTACTTGCTTTTGGCTTGATCAAGATATTTATAAGACAGAAGATAATCGAAAAACATTGAATGAACTAAAACATATTATTGGTCATCTAAAAGTATTCGATATCGTTGAAGAATGTGAACAAGCCATCAGAAATATTACACACGAGAAAGTCATTCTTATCTGTTCAGATACCTTAGGCCATCAATTAATTCCACGTCTTCATGATCTTGCACAATTTAGCGCATGCTATATTTTATGTCGAGATCAAGCGACCAGCGAACAATGGGCGAACAAATATACAAAAGTATGTTACAAATCTAATTAATGTTAGACAGTCAACGTTTTGAATCAGAAATGAAGCAAGACTTGACAGAGAATTGAGAATTTTTTTTACCGTATGATAATTTTTAAAAACTTCAGGGTATCAAATACATTCTATGAAGAGATTGAATACTCTCAACTGTCTCCCATTCTTTTTTTATAACTGGCTAGTTACTGAAACTCATAGCTGCGGAGCACATCAGACATCAAAAAATAGAAAACATGTCCAAGAAGTTCCGAAACAGGTGTAGATGGATGTGACTTGTCTCTTTACATACCCTCAAAACCATTCCTATCTGAAAACTAGTTGGTTAATAACTTTATTCATACTATGAATGCTTCAATCTTTAACGATTTGCTACTTATGACTTGTGGAACTGATTTCCACGCGTCGAATTCATTTTAAAAGAATCTTTGTTAGCTTAGATAGAGCTTATCAGGAGTAAAACAGAAAAATAAAAAAGTGATGATGAGAAATAGGTCTTTCTCGATGTCTTCTTAAGATCACAATATTTAAGTTCCGCAAAAACACTTATTTGAAGAAAAATTATGATGAGACAATCTTACCTTTGTTTCATGGAATTGGAGAAAGTTAATTTGACATAGTTATCTATCTTTTAGCATCCATGATAAAGTATACATAGAAATAACTCAATTGGATTGTTATTACCAATTCGGCTGTTTCTATTCTGAAATCGATCCTGATTATTCATAGAAAAGATTTTCTCTTTTTGGCATAGATTGAAGTCAAACAATGTTTTTATCAATGGCGATACTGTTTTTTTGTGCAGTGTATGATAATTTAAGTCGAATAAAAAACCAGTTAGATATCGAAGCTAGGAATATTATAAGTGTTTGCCACATGGACACACTAACACTTTGATTACTTGTAGCAGTCATCCATACCCTTGAATATCTGAACAATCTCATGTAATTCTCAAATTCATATCTCTGGATACAGATTTACACGCTATATTAAGAGCATAATCCTTCAATCATGTGAAAAATAATCAACAGTTTGAAGGATGAATTTCTTTTAAAAATTAATTGTAATTAGTTGGTTCCATTTATAGCATTGCGAGTTCTACTTGAGATAATTTATTACCGAACTATATATCAATATCGTTAAATCTTATGTTTTGTTTTGAATTACGAGCATTCTGATCTGATTGCTTTATATACATAGGTGAAAGGTATTTTTGTTAATCGATCAAAGCTCGTTGCTCAAATTGCCCAAGATCAAATTACTCGAATTAAAGTCGAAGAATCAGGAACTATTACAGTTGTGAATAGCAGTGCACAATCTTTGGAAAGTCGTAATGCAATGTTCATGTGGTTTCAATTGTACATTGAAGTTCTTCTCCGTATGCATCATACATCTAATGCACGACAAGAACTCATTGATATTTGCAAAAAAAATTATCGAGAAAATCCTTCAGAACTTTCTATTATTAATGAATTTGAATCGACCTACAAATCAGAAAATGCCATCTGGTGGTATACACGTGAATGTTGTTTCTACCGTATTTTGAACAAAGCATTACGTATTCAAGATTTTGATATGCTTTTTGTACTTCGATTTTTTATCACTGATCTATCAAAACAATTGAATGATGAATATGATCGTCGTCTACGTGAAACACCGACACGTGATATTATTCGAGTTTATCGTGGACAAGCAATTCATGTCAAAGAATTGCAACTAATAAAATCAAATATAGGTGAATTTATTTCGATGAATTCATTCCTTTCAACCAGTCTTCGGCGTTTAACTGCTCTTAGTTTTGTTAATACGATTGAACTACAGGAAGAAATCGATCGTGTCTTACTCGAAATCGATATTGATCCACGTGCTAAGACAAAAGCTTTTAGTAATATTGATCGACTAAGTTATTTTAAATGTGAAGATGAAGTTCTTATTATGCTTGGTGCACTGTTTCGAATAAAATCCGTTGATAGAGACAATGAAAAACAATTGTGGATTGTGCATGTTACCTTAGCCAATGAAGATGATTATCAATTGAAAGAGACGTTTGCTCATATGAAAGAAAAAATTGGCGATGAAACAAATTTGCATTCTATGGGAAAAATTTTAACTGAAATGGGCGAATACGAACAAGCACGAAAATGTTATAAACGAGTGATTTACGAAGCTCAAATTAATGAAAGCATCGGATATAGTGGTCTTGGATGGGTCGATCATTGGTTAAATGAATACGATACAGCTTTAAATAATACTCAAAAAGCTCTATCGTTAATTGATGAACTTTTACCCGATATTTGTAACGAAAAAGCTAGATTGTATAGCTCTATGGGTTTAATTTACTGGAGAAAAAAACAATATGATCAAGCATTAAAAAATTTAAAGAAAGCTCTATATATACAAGAAAAGATTTTACCACCAGACCATCCAGATCTCTTAGCTACTTACAATCGTTTCGCTATTACATATAGTGCGATGGATGAAGCACAAATGGCTTTCGAATACTACAATAAATGTTTGAACATTCGATTGGCTACATTACCTCATAATCATCCTGATATTGCTACATCATACAACAATCTTGGCTGGTTATACAACGAACGTATAGGTGATTATGCCAAGGCATTAGATTACTTTCAACAGTCTCTCGCCATTTGTCGTAAAACATTGCCACCGACACATCGAGATATCGTTCGAACTGAACAGAATATCCTTAAAGCAATCGAAAAAATGAAACAGAAATCAAAGACAAAGACATAGTTCTTTTTAATGTTCTTGCATTTTTTGAATATCCTACGTTCATGTTCGGAATAAGTCATCAAAAATTGATTATCTATATTCATCAAGAGTCCAAATTAACCAAAACAAAAATCATTTTCTAGTCACATATTACCTCATAAAATGATTTTTCAAATAAATTTAATAGAAAAAGTCACAATGCTAACTAATCGTTCAGCCAACGCAGATGGAATTGTTGGGAAAGATGACCTGCACGAACGAAAAATGATACTCTTATATATTCAAGGCAACGAAGAGACGATAAGATTTAGTTTTGACAATTTTGGCTATTTGAACATAAAAGTGCTGGTTTGAGTTTTTTTTCCTGTATGTTAAAGTGAGAAAATTCGACCATATACTAAGTAATCTAACATAAAATCTAGAAGAATATTTAGAAAATGAACAGGGTGTATTTCACAGTGAATCGGATTCCCCAAGATTAAACAAAGTTTGAATATAGTAATTGAACATCCTTGATCGACTTTGCACGCTTTTTACCGTATTTAACAGATTATCTTCATAAATTTATTGATTTCTCAAAAGATTATCATGACATTAAATAAAGTTGAAAATGGTCGAGGAAATTAAGACGGTGTAAAAAACGAACCACGCTGTTTGTTAGTAGACATAGTGAACATTTTTCTATTATATTTTGAATCAGATAATGAGTCACCAAATTATTCAACTCACGTTTCTATTTGGATTCTTTATTCAATACTTACGTCGAAAATACATAGAGAAATATGAAAAATTCAAACTGGAAGAAACACGTCCAAATTATCAGATAAATTTTATGAGTCCTGTTTCAACATTTACTTGATTTTATTTGAAATTGAAGGGTGTGGGGTATGGGTGTGGGTATGAGTTTGGGATTGATATATAGATGAAACATCAACACCCACACCCTAAGTATGCAGCGCCAAAACTTGTCTCATTTTCCACTAACAGAAATGTTTGTTGTCGTTTCATAATGTATCCTCAACTGAATATTAATTAGTCTGTGAAGTATTACTATCAAGAGTGCGTCTTTTTTCCATGAGGAAATGGGCTGAAAAATACCATGGATATACCACTGAGATTTTTCAAATAAATCAACAGAAGTTAAAAATTCGATTATGGACTCATGCACACTATCCTAAATGTAAAATTAGCTATTGAAATTTTCGCTAAAAGTGGTCTTGAATTGAGAAGAAGTATGCTTTATTATTAGAGAAATAGCAAAGGAAAACAAAGAGTGAAGAATTAATTCTAGTCCTATAATTATTAGATTAATTTTAAAACTACAATAACAACAAAAGAAATATTAAACTGTTCAGGACAACAACAAAAGTTTGTTGTTGAATATATCACTTCGTTTCCCTTTTCCTCATTGCACTATTCACGATAGTATCAGCACAGAATGTACAGACGATAGTGTAATCATCGTTATATTCCTGATAGCTTATCTAATAAAAACTTGTTAGACAATTGTCCAAAACAGCGATTATAGCAGTTTAGCCTTGTTGAGCAACGACCAGGCGAAATCAAAAAAGCCATTTTTTCACTTGAAATCTATTGGGCTAGTGGGATCTACAACTATATCTCTTCTCTAATAGCTTCAGATCAATCGACTGTACTTGTCTTGAGACTGTATAAGTTAGAAAACCGAGTTTTTCGCCACGATAAACTGGACATCATGTAGACGCCTGATAAAAATTTATAGATCTGGTAGTTTTGAATGGGATTGCGCCAAATTCGCTAGTCATTTGCCATTCTAGCATGTATAAAAATGAACTAAAAATGAAGATGGTTGATTGAACACCAACAACTTAAATTCTGTCATGACTTAAATTCAGCTACATAGGAAAAGGCTTATTGAATAGAATGCTTGAACACTTCTAGTGAATCATGAGTCCAATACCATAATATTAAATCATTAAGCTAGTCTATACGTTTGCTTGAGTCATTTTTAGATAATATTCACCGAGCTGTTTCCTTAGGCTATTCAAAGTCCTTCTTCCATCAGAAGGGTTATTCTCAGAAGAGATACTTTTAACATAAAGATACTTTTATTTAAATTTTCATAACTGTGTTCATGATGATATTCATTTAAATCTTCCTACTTATTTAAACTATTCTTATAGTTATTTTTGAATCCTACTCACAGTCATTTAAATCTTCATTGCAATTTCATGATACGCGTAGCTATTTTAAGAAGTCGTAGCAGTTCATTCCCGAGATGTCCATCGTGGCTGAGAATCTGCCACTGCTGCGCCGCCACCGCGACGGTTTAAAAAAATACTTACACTTTCCAAACTGTGCCTGATTTCCAATTGGAACCGCTACTGCTAATCGATTAGATTCGTCATGTCTTACAGTATGGCACAAATTAACGTCGAGATTCTGTTTAAATCCATGAGTTTTTGAAATTTCTTCCTAAAAGAGCTGCCACCGCCGCGCCGCTTCCAAACTGCGATGGTTTTTGAAAAAATCTGCTGCTCCCGTACCGCTAATGTTACGGTGGTTCTAGTGCCGCCATTGACATCTCTGATTCACTCAACATTATGATTGATTTCGGTCAGAAAGTGTGAAGTTGAGCACAAATATCTTGCTGATGAGCTATTTAATCTCTAGCACTGTTTAAAGATATCTAGTACCAAGTAATAAGCATTCATAGCTGTCTAAATTTTGTTTGCTGTTAGTAAACAAAAGTTATTACTAAAGATCAGAATAAAAAGAAGTTTCCCATATAACCGGATGCATGACAATAAATTATCAGAAAGCTAAAAAAGGCACTAATAACTTCATTGAACAATTAAAACTTCTTTATATTCAAACAAGAAATATCGTCTATTATATCAAATTTTTCAGCTCTCAAAATTCTATTAAAATTCTAATAAAGACGCTGGCAAGTTCTACAACTTCTTAGTTTCAGTAAGATTTCAATTGAATGTACTCGATCAGTCTACAGTTTCTCCGAATTAACTAGACTGCAATTAAAATTGAACATAATTTAATATACCTCTATAAGATCAACTCTTTATAATTATCTGGTCAGTGATTTTAGCTGTTAAATCTTTTAAAAACTCTGTTTAATTTTGCCTAAACCTCAACTTTGCTTAACATATATTTCAGCCGTATCTGCATGCATCGCGAAAATGAAATGAGTCAAAATCTTAAAAATTATTTCTGAGCCTTCTATATATGACTTTGATATCTTCAGAGAAGTACCCTCTATATGTCTGACAAGGTGATCAATTTTCTCAATGATGCTCTAAAAATGAGCAAGAAGACATTTGAATCGAAGAGTTTCGATTGAGCACTTCTCCCTAATATTATGCTGCCATGCTTGTGCAATGACTTCTATATGTACGAATCTTATTCAAACTAAACGGTAATCTTGAACGAGAACTACTTCATACAAAGTTGAAAATAGGCTTCCAATACAAAATTTCAGATTGCTGCAGTGGAACACTTCTGTTTAGGATGGTTAAATACCAATAGTATGAATTTTGCATGATATCAGCACACGACACCGATATTAACAAATGGAAAAGTGTTGGTTTTTGGTGTATATGGTTCTGATATTCCTTTGACTAGTGCAGAATTGTATGATTCATCAACAGGACTTTGGAGCAGGACTGACAACATGAATACTGGGCGATATCTTCACACAGCATCAATACTCAACAACGGAAAAGTTTTAGTTGCTGGTGGAATTGACTCCATTAGCGACCAAAATACTGCAGAACTGTACGATCTAGCAACAGAAATCTGGACCAAGACGGGCAACGTGAGCAGTGGAAGATACTATCACACAGCATCGCTACTAACCAATGGAAAAGTTTTAGTTGTTGGTGAATCTGGAACAGCTGGCTTTTTGAATACTTCAGAACTGTACAATCCATCAACAGGTCTTTGGACAATGACTGGCAACATGGTATATTCAAGATACACGCATGCGGTAACGACACTTAACAATGGAAAAGTCTTAGTTACTGGTGGGTATGACATTATTGGCATTTTGGATAGTGCAGAACTGTACGATCCATCAACAGAACTTTGGACACTGACTGCTGGTAACATGAATAGGGGAAGATACTATCACACAGCAACCCTACTAATCAATGGAAAAGTTTTAGTCGCTGGTGGGTATGGTAATGGATATGGAATTAGTGCCTTTTTGAATAGTGCAGAATTCTACGACCCATCAACAGGACTTTGGACAATAACTGGCAGCTTGAGTATTGGACGAGATTTACATATAGCATCTATACTAACTAATGGAAAAGTCTTTGCTACTGGTGGAACTTTCTATGGTACTAGTGGCTATTTGAACAGTTCAAAACTATACGCGTGATCGTCTTGAGGCTGGAGTACTGCTCGTTGGACTGAAACTTGAACCTTTCATTCGTTTTCCTACTACTTACTCTTGAACTGTCTGAAAACACTGTTACAATGACATGAAACTTTTGCGTATTTACTATTAATGGCGTAACCACGAGGGGGGTTGGATAGGCTGAGCTTCCTTCAGAACTATTTGTACCCTCTCGTCCTCAAAAAAGTTTTGGTTCTCATGAAAAACAGAATTGTTTCTCATTTTCAGATGTGTTAGTTCATCCTGTTCAATATTCGATAGTTTTCTTCGATCAAAGGCGAAAGCGAGATTAATTTTTCAAAACAATGAAGGAATCGATGAACTTTTCTGACGAAAAAATTATTTATCCACTTCTGACTGCGGGAAGTTTTCGACCTAGTCATAGTACACACTAAATAAAAATGTGCCGTATTTATATGTCGTGAATTATTGTGTCGCACACTCCAGCAGAAAAATGTGTCGTGCTTAGAATGTGTCGTATACGAATTTCTCGCGTTCTGTCTGTTGACTATTCGTTCACCGTTTTATTATGCACACATGGTCATATATAAACAACGTGGTTTAACATAGAAAAAAAAATTTCAAATTATTTTTATTTTCTAGATTATTTCTCGATTATTTTTTT